CATTTGGGTATATGGTAATCTAATAGCCCCCTGTAAAAGTATAACATTGCTTGCTGGTACATGCTTATAATCCCAGCACTTGGGAGGTGGATGCCAAAAGATAATACATGTAAGGTCATCTTTAATTACAAAAGGCTAAGCTTGTATACATTAGACCATCTCACAAAGCCCTGGATTTAAGCGCCATCACATATAAGCCAGATTTGGTGGTACACCCCCATAATTCCAGCATTCAAAAGTAAAGGCAGGAGTATGGGCTCAAGCTTCTCTGCTTCCTAAGAAGTTTCAAGGCAAACTGGGATACATGAGACACCGTCTCTATTTTTTTTTTTCAAGACAGGGTTTCTCTTGTAGACCAGGCTGGTCTCAAACTCACAGAGATCTGCCTGCCTCTGCCTACCAAGTTCTGGGATTAAAGGCATGCACCACTGCCACCCACCATCTCAAAAAATTTAAGTCAAAATGACTCAGCCAGTAAAGGTGCTTGCCAGCAAGCCTACTGACCTAAATTCAATCTCTGTATTGTTCATTTTCTTTTGCTATAAAATATCCCAACAAGCCGGGCGGTGGTGGCGCATGCCTTTAATCCCAGCACTCCGGAGGCAGAGGCAGGCGGATCTCTGTGAGTTCGAGACCAGCCTGGTCTACCGAGCAAGTTCCAGGACATGCCTCCAAAACAATACAGAGAAACCCTGTCTCGAAAAACCAAAAAAAAAAAAAAAAAAAAAAAAAAATCCCAACAAAAAGCATCCTAGGGGAGACAGGGTTGATTTAGCTTACAATTCCAGGTTTCAGTCCATCCTCACCATGAAGTCAAGGCAGGAACTTTAAGCAGTAGTCAGGAGCAGGAGAAAAAAAAAAAACGCATGCATGCCTGTCAGTGCCCAGCTTGTTCTCTACACTTAGACATTTCAGGATCCAAATTCAGGAAATGAATGGTACTGCTCAAAATGGACTTGGTCTTTCTTCTTACTTTAATTAACATAATCAAAGCAATCCTCCAGGGGGCTGGAGAGACAGTACAGCGGTTAAGACACTTGTTGCTTTTGCAGAGGACCCAGGTTCAATTCCCAGCTCCCACATGATGCTCTCAACCATCCATAACTCCAGTTCCAGGGAATTTAATGCTTTCTGATCTAGAGCACCAAGAATACACATGGTGCAGACATTCACACAAGCAAACTAAAACAAATAATATTACCCACAGGCAAACAATCTAGATAATCCCCCACTGACATTCTGAGGGATTCTAGATCGTCTCAAACTGACAATTAAAATCAACCATCAATTGGGCTGGAGGTGACTCAGTATAAAGAGTACTTGCTGCATTTGCATAGAATCAGAGTTCAGCTCCCAACAGTCTGTATGACAGCTCCAGGGGATCTGGCACCTCTGAATATACCTGCATTCAACATTCATATATCCACATACACCCACACACCTAAAAATGGTAAAGGGGCTAGAGAGATGACTGCATGGTGAATAGCACTGGTTGCTTTTGCAAAGGACCTGGGTTCAATTCCTAGTACCCACATGATGGCTCACAACTGTCTTGTCACTTCAGTCCTAGGAGATGCAATGCTATCTTCTGACCTCTGAGGGCACCAGGCATACGTGATACACAAATTTAGCTAAGTCCATCTTTGTTATTTGGTCCTGCCACTCCCCCACTATGGGGTTGGGGGCAAAATTATCAGCATTACTTTTTCAGGTTTAATAAGTTTTTCACTAAGGACAGAAAAGTAACCAATTTAAGTGATGGATTTATTGAGTACAGTATACACTGAGAAGAATGAATTTTCTTCATTTATTAAGACAGTCCTTTACTGTATGCTACAGACATACACAAGCTTGTAACTTCACTTCAGGATTACTTAGAACAAACATTGTCACTGGTTTATTCCAGGTTCCTTAACTGTGTATTAAAAGTATTTGACTAGCTGTTCACAGTATAGATCTGATGTAACTGATAAAACTTTTTTAAAAAGTATTTCCTGGCAGACTGTGACCAGAGTCTTAACTCTCCTCAAGATTACACAGCAAATACACCTACCACTGAGCCATCTCTCTAGCCGCCAAACTATCTTTAGTGGAAGGAAATACATCCAGAACGTTTGGGGGGAGGGGAACCAATAGGCAGAAAGTTATAGTATTTGAAATATTTGAACCTAAAATATTGGGGAAAGTATTTTATCAATTTGATCACAAAGATGACTACCAATATGACCAAAATGTATATAATACCAAATTTTCTCACCCCTTCCTGGACTATTATACATATATAATTTAACCTCTTCATTTCTATTGAAGTTGAAATGTAATTTAACAGATTGAAGAATTATTTGTGAAGAGGTTCAAAAATTTAGACTTATAGCTAATATATTTGGTGATGTGTAGTAGCACTATTTAGAACACTTCAATTCTGATCAGATCACGTCGCTCAACAGATGAGGAAAATGATTTAGGTCTAGAACGAATAACTTAGCCAGGGCTACTTTAGTTAGGTACTAAGTATAGTAGGACTGCAGTTCCAAAGGCCATGGCTCCAGACCATGCTTTTCTCTACCATCCTGCCACTGAATGACCTGTTGACATAGAACTGTTATTCACTAGTGAAAGTTGTTCATGTTATGGATTTTGATGGATTTTTTTCAGTTTTCAATTACATAATGTTCAGTTAAATAGCAAAGTCACATTGTTCCTAGCTTTTTTTTTTTTGGTTTTTCGAGAGAGGGTTTCTCTGTGGCTTTGGAGGCTGTCCTGGAACTTGCTCTGTAGACCAGGCTGGCCTCGAACTCACAGAGATCTACCTGCCTCTGCCTCCTGAGTGCTGGGATTAAAGGCGTGCGCCACCAACGCCCGGCTGTTCCTAGCTTTTAAAAGCATTTATATAATTAAAATTTGAGTCTAATTTTATTGAAAATTTTGTAATTTTAATCTCAAACATTAACAGATCTAAACATCAACTCATATGAAAGTATTATTTGTCTTTAGCATATTCAGAAGAAAGCTGCAGAATGGAAAGTCAAGATAGAAATTATTGCAGGTAAGCTTATCTCAACCCTGTTTTTTTTCGAGACAGGGTTTCACTCTGTGGATCAGGCTATCCCGGAACTCCAAGATCCACCTATCTCTGCCTCCCAAGTGCTGGGATTAAAGGCATGAAGCACTACCACCTGTCTATAACCCTATTTAAAAAGTCAACAGGCCAGCCAAAATTTAAAAATTTATTTTTATTTTATGCACATTGGTGTTTTGTCTGTATGTGTCTATATGAAGGTATCTGATCTCTTGGAATTGGAGTTAGACAGTTGTGAGCTGCCATGTGGGTGCTGGGAAACGAACCTGGGTCCTCTGGAAGAGCAGTCAGTGTTCTTAACCACTGAGCCATCTCTCCAACCCACCGGCCTAAATTTTTTTTTTTTTTTTTTTTTTGGTTTTTACAAGACAGGATTTCTCTGTATTGTTTTGGAGGCTATCGGTCCATCCCGGCCTCGAACTCACAGAGATCCGCCTGCCTCTGCCTCCCGAGTGCTGGGATTAAAGGCGTGCGCCACCACCGCCCGGCCGGCCTAAATTTTTAAGGTACTGAAAAAATACTATGGAATGTTATTCAGTTCGGCAATAGGTTGGAAATGCACTAATTAGGGTAAACATTGACCAAGGTTGGCCTGCACCTATCTCTATTTATGCATTTCTAAAAAAAAATGTAATGGTACCAAGGTACTTGGTCATCCAGGCCCTGACAGAAGACTAACTACTACCAACAGTAAGTGAAAACATGGGCCTGAACATGGTAGGCCTACCTGAAAATGCCATTGATTTATGCTTGATACATAGCTAAACAACACCAACCTTTCCTTTTCTGAAGGGTCATAAACATCCACAGTGTTATAAGAGATGCCTTAATTTTTTTCCTTTTTACTAAGTTTGCCAGCATCAAAACAGGAAAACCATTAGAAAGTAGAAGTCATAGAAGTCACCCAGAGAAGCTTGAAACAAACTATAAACAGTGGGGTGTATGCTTGCTTAGCACACACAAGAGAAAAATGGGGAAAATGTGCAATAAAAGGAACATTTTTGTTTGGAGGCATTTCTTGTGTATCTCTGGCTGTCCTCGTACTATGTAGACTAGGCCTTACCTGCCTCTGCTTCCCAATCCTGGGATTAAAGGCACATGCCACCATGCCTAGCTATGAGTTTACCTTGAATTGGTCCTATGGTGTTAAAGCATCTACCTAAATTGTTTATAAAGACCTGTTTGCCTTCCTATTATTAACAACCCTGAGCCTACACAGACAGAATTAGTTGGCAGCTAAACAAGATTCCCAAATGACTTGACCTGTAGGACTAGAATCACATTGGAAGTTATAAAAGATACGACTGGTCAATAGTGAAAGTACAGAGAATTTATCTAATAAATTAGAAAGGAATGTGAAAAATGAGCCTTCATTTTGCTAGTGGAAAAAGTAACTAGGAGTAAACATTATTAAAATGTGGACAGGAAAATATCAAGCTATAGATACATCTTATTATTTCCATAGAATTTTTTCTTCACTTGTTAATTCTTTTAACTATTCTCCAAAACCTCAAATTTTGGCATGTAATCAAAATAGCAGGAACACCATGCATAACTTGACACATAAGTATACAAAGATATGTCCAAAGTGATGAATGTAAAATGGTATGCGTACTAGCATTTACTTTTAAAGTAAAGTGAATGTTTGGCTTGTTTTACAGAGCTTCGATATGACCTGCCAGCATTATACAACTTTCATAAAAAGAAAACAGTAAGTTTCCCAATTGTGGCCTGTGTACATTCAGTATTCAAAAGCTTTGCAATAGTTCTTTCCACTCTTGCATGGGTAAATAGAAAGCCAGCCTGAGAGATTAGATAAGTTAATTGTGAAAAGGGCCCATAACCAAAGCAGTCAATATTCTAGTTGAAGTACTTTGTGAAAAGTTTTAAGAGCAAAAAAAGAAAAAAATAAACGGTTGGCTATTTTTATACAGCATATATTTTACAAGTTTGTACTAATACATTCTCATATTACAAAGGCAATTAAGAGGAAGAATCTTCCTTTTCATATTTGAATCATCCAAACACAAACAGAACTATACATTTTAAAAAACTTTCATTTGGATAACAACAACAACAAAAAAAAAGACAAGTAAAACAAATTTTTTTCTTTTTATACAGGTGGACATTGAAGTGGACCTAATTCGCTTTTCTTTTTAAAAGCTTCCGAAGACAAAACGCAGCTTAAAATCTAACTAAGATGAATAAAAACATTGCTTACTAAACTACTTGTCTCTAGCACCATTCTCTCTTTTCTTATGCTTTGATGCAGGCTCTTCTCTGTCTCTTCCATCTCTTCCTCTTTTCATTGGTCCTATACAATCACAAATAATTTGTTAAAATCAATGTAAACACTGCTGTATTAATATTGACTACAATCACTGACAGCTTCCTTTAAAAAATTATCAATTTCCCTTCCGGGAGAAAAGGCTATTCCTTGAGTGCACAGTCTTTCTGACCTTTAAAGTTATCTTTTAACCAACCTCTCATTTGTGAAACAGCACAGAGGAATCAAGACTCACTCACAGAGAAATAATGTCTTATCAAGTACAGAGACCACTCCCAGAGATTTGAGGAAGACTTACCTCGTCGATGATGATAATCATCGTCATCGAATCTTGTTCTCCTTCCCTGAAACTGTCCTCTTCCTTTGGGTGCCCCAGCATAGGGAGGTCTGTTCCCCTTTCCTTTTCCTTTAAATCTGCGGCCTGCAGAAACACAATTGAGAACGTAGTCAAAAATTCTCAAGCAAAAATGAGGTAAAGTAACCAACTATTAATGAAAAAGTAGAATAATTACCTCCTCCTCCTCCTCCTTTTGACTTCCATTTGTTTAGTGATTCTTGCTGATCCTCCATGATTTTTTTCATCGCGTCTTTTTCTGCATGTCCTTCTAGTACTTTCCAAGTCACCTTTTTGTTCCTTAATTGTAGGTTACCATTATTTGCATTTCTGGCTTTCTCAAGTGCTTCCTTAGCTTTTTCTTTAAAGAGAATTATTCCCTACAAAAAGAGAAAAAAGAAATGTTTCACTCTTCAGTTTTTAGTCTGACAATTTCTTTACTCAAAGCTATTCCCCAACGCCAGCATATCTATTATTGCTATTTTTAATGTATCTTATTGAATATTATGAAGGAATGCTTTAAAAGTAAAACCCTGTCTCAAAAGAAAAAAAAAGTAAACTCCAGTTACCAATACCAACTTATTTATACTAATACCCTCCTACCTACCCCCAAGGATTTTTTTCGGTTTATCATGCCTTTTTTGGGACATGTGCGTCCTACAAATTTTGGTACAAGGTCAGCACATTACCCATCTGACATGCAAAACAAGACATCACACCCAGTAAAGGACTTAAAGACAAAAGTACATGACTGAGTTATTAACTATTTTCCCTCCCTCCCTCCCTATATATCTTGGTTTTCTGAGACAGGGTTTCTCTGTATTGTTTTGGAGGCTGTCCTGGAACTCGCTCTGTAGTCCAGGCTGGCCTCGAACTCACAGAAATCCTCCTGCCTCTGCCTCCCAAGTGCTGGGATTAAAGGTGTGCACCACCAACACCTGGCCAGTTGTTAACTATTTTAATCAACATGCTTTATACATTACTTTAATTTGTTTGAAAGAAAAACTGATTCCTAGTAATTTCATCTTCTAACAATGTTCTATAGACTAATAAGGACAAAGATGTTCACAAACCTCTTTTGCTCCTCTGACAAAATCAATCCATTTTATTTCACCGTGATTTGAAAAAAGGATGTGTAAATCTTCTCTACAGGTCTGGTCATCCAAGTCACCTGAAAACTTCAGTAAGCATCCCATCTTTCCTTCTAGAGGTCTCTACAAAAATAATACAAGGCCATCAAAAGGTTCCCTTAAGAGCAACCTCACCAAAATGGCTCACATCATTCTATACCTACATAAGGAAAAAAGAGAAGTCAGTGCTATTTTAGTACAGTGTAAAAGTATGTTTTTCTTTGTCATCCTGTTTAACAATGACTTTATTTTATTAAGTTTCTTCAATAGGTGAGTTTAACTATCTTCTAATAAGCAACGATCCCAGACAATATTATTTGTGTATAACTAATGCAATGACACTGGTAGAATCATTTATACACAGTCTCTCATACATGGTTAGAGGCCTAAGGGGACTACAGGTCCATTCCCAACACCACACACACACTAGTTTTCATTCTAGCCGAGCGATGGTGGCACATGCCTTTAATCCTAGCACTTGGGAGGCAGAGGCAAGTGGATCTCTGTGGGTTCAAGGTCAGTCTGGTCTACAGATGGAGTTCCAGGACAGCCTCCAAAGCGACATACAGAGAAACCCTTGTCTCAAAAACAAGCAAAAAAAAACTAACTCTAGAGAGGGAGCATAGGGGTTAAGAGCACTCCAGTTTACCAAAGTTTAGTTGCCAGTTTAGATGGCTCACAATCACTTGTAACTCCAGGTCCGGGGGACCTGGCACCCTTTTCTGCCCACCCTAGGAACCTATACACACGTAAGACAAAACATTCTCAAACACACACACAAATTAAAAAAAAATCTTATTCTCAGTGCCAGGGAAACTCCCAGGAATCCACAAGGATGACCCCAACTGACTCCCAGCAAGAGTAGACAGGGTACTTGAATTGGCCTTTCCCTGTAATCAGATTGGTGACTACCCTAATTGTCATCATAGAATCTTCATCCAGTTGATGGAAGCAGAAGCAGATCCACAGGGAAGCATAGGGATGTCAAGATCAGAATGGGGAAACACAAAGACAGTTAGTTGACTTTTGGGAGCTCACTGACTCTGGACAGTGAGCCGAAGGAGACCCACGTATGCCCTCTGCATTTGGGTGACAGTTGTGTAGTTTGCTCTTTTGTGGGGTCCCTAGCAGTGGGACCAGGAACTATTCCTGATGCATGAGCTGGAACCTATTCCTTACTGTGGGATGCCTGGTCGGCCTTGATGCAATGGGGAGGAGCTTGGTCCTGCCTCAACTTGATATGCCATGCTTTGTTGACTCTCCTGGGAGGACTTACCCCATCGAAATAGAAACTGAGGAGGAGTGGATGGGGAAGGATAGAAAGGAGGTGGAGAGAGGATGGGAGGAGAGAAGGGAGGGGAAGCTGTGGTTGGCATGCAAAAATTGTTCTCAGGAGAGCCAGAGAGGTAGTTCAATAGTTAAAGGCACCTGCTGCTCTTTTAAAGACTGAGTTCAGTTCCTAGCATCCACTGTGCCTGCCACTCATACATACAACTCTAGCTTCGGAGGATTGGACACCCTCTCCTAGCCTCCAACATACACAAAAAATTTACAAATTTTTATATAATTTTAGATGTATATGTATATACATATGCTTTGGTTTTTTTTTTTTTTTTTTTTTTTTTGGTTTTTCGAGACACGGTTTCTCCGTGGCTTTGGAGGCTGTCCTGGAACTAGCTCTTGTAGACCAGGCTGGCCTCGAACTCAGAGATCCGCCTGCCTCTGCCTCCCAAGTGCTGGGATTAAAGGCGTGCGCCACCAACGCCCGGCCTGCTTTGGTTTTTTGAGTCAGGGTTTCTCTGTGGCTTTGGAAACTGTCCTGGAACTAGCTCTTGCAGACCAGGCTGGTCTCGAACTCACGGAGATTCACCTGCCTCTGCCTCCTGAGTGCTGGGATTAAAAGGCATGCGCCACCACTGTCCAGCAAATTATGTATGTACATGTATATGATTCATTGGGGCTCAGAGAGATTGAACCAACAACTAGGGAGTCTACATGGGAATGACCTAGGCACGTTGCATATGTTACAGCTGTGTATCTTGGTCTTCTAGTGGGACTCCTAACAATAGAACAAGGGTTGTTTCATGACTTTTCTTTTTTTGGGGGTGGAGGGGGTTGAGACAGCCTTGGTTGTCTTGGAATTCACTCTGTAGAACAGGCTGACCTCAAAACTTAGAGAGATCTACCCCTCTCTGCCTCCCAAGTGCTGGGATTAACAGTGTACACCACTACCACCCAGCTGTCTCCAATTCTTTTACAGGTTCCCAAGACCATACTCCTCATATTGGGTTGCTCTGGCCAACCTTAATACAAGGGAAGGTGCTTAATCTTACTGCAACTTGATATGCAGTATTTTCTTGACACTCATGGGAGACTTGCCCTTTCCTAAACAGAAAGGAAGAGTTGATTGGGGGGCAGAGGGAGACTGGGAGGAACGGAGAGAGGGGAAACTGCAGATTGGATACAAAGTAAATTTATTTTAAAATATAAAATGGAAAAAAATTTAAACAAGTTATTTCAGCAGAGTATGGTGTTGTATGCCTTTAATCCCAGCAATTGGGAGGCAGAAACAGGTTGATCACTCCCACTCCAAGTCTGAGGCCTAACTGGTCTACAAAGCCAATTCTGGGCCAGCCAGATTACAATGGTAAAATCTTATCTCTGGATAAATAAAATCTAGGGGCCAGCAGGTAAAAATGCTAGATGCCAAGTCTGACAACCTGGGTTCAATCCCTGAGATCCACATGGGGAAGGAAATAACTGAAAAGCTGTCCTCAGACCTCCATACAATAGCACACACACACACACACACCCCAACTCAAAAAAACACTAACATTCACCCATGTATTAGATATTAATACTTACTGTTTCAGTACTTCCTGACTTGTGTCTTCCTTCATGTTCTCTAAAAATAAATGTGTTGTGATTATAGTATGTTTAAACTTAACTACATTAAAAACCCTAATAACCTCCATCATTCCCACCAACCCACTTAATGATCAAAGCAAGTCCTTAGACTTTTTTGATCATACAAACACCAGTAATATGGCTTCCAGGTTATCAAGGTATCCTAAGACGAGTATTTCACTATCAATAATGATAAACCAGTTATCACTCATCTCAAAGTTCATCATCAGCTCATCCCAGAACCACTGGCTAACCTTGCAAAAGCATTAAGAAATTCAAATGTGTCACATGAATTTAACACACTTACTGTTTAGCTTTTAATTTAGCCTCCACTTTGCTCTGCTTTCTTTCTTCATTTTTCTTTGCAAAGTAATCTTCCCTGAAAAACACAAAACACAGACTAAGCTCACAAAGACAAAGAAAAGACTTAAAACTACTTTTTGTGCTGGGCAGTGGTGGTGAACGCCTCTAATCCCAACACTTAAGAGATAGAGGCAGGCCTGGTTTATGAAGTGTGTTCCAAGACAACCAGAATTGTTACACAGAGAAACCGTATCTCCAATAAACAAACAAACATTTAATTAGTTATCTTTGTTTTTTTTTTTTGGCCAGAGTTTCTCTGTATAGCCCAGGCTGTCCTTGAACTCAAGAGATTCTGCCTGTTTCTGCCTCCCAAGGGTTGGGCCTAAAGTAGGTTCATGAACCATAGACCAGTTGAAAATTACTTTGAATATTTGAAATCCTGGCTTCACAAAAATTACCATACACTTTCTTTTTTTTTGATGGGATATTCTAAGTCAGGGTCTTACTGTTTATTACACACTGGCTGGGAATTTGTCACGTAGCCCAGGCCTCAATCCAACAACCCTCCTGCCCGAGCCTCTGAGAAGGTGAGCACACTTGCTGCACATGACTGGTGACCTGAGTTCTATCACTGGATAGAACGGGCTACAGAGTTGTTCTGACCTCCCCTTGCTGCCCACTACAGCACATGTGCACCTCCATCATGCACATATATACCTCAACGCACTGAAAATAGATAAGATTAGAAAGGTACTAAGAGCTACTTTCATGTTCTTAAAATACTATTAGAATTACCCTGAACAAACCTATATTCAGAGCATACTAAAAATAATATTAACTGTACAGGGGATGCTGCTGTTTATACCTTACCCCACTGTATCAATTCCAAATAATCATGTGGCCTGAGAAGCAAGCAAAAAGACTTACTTAAAGAGTATTAGCAGGCTTGTGTCTTTGTACTTGTGGCCAGGAGTCTCCACAAACTTCTTTGCAGACTGAATACTATCAAACACAGCAAATATTGACCCCTATAAAAGGACAGAAAGATTTTCTTTAAATCGATATTTTACAACTAGAAAGTCTATATGAAATAATCATACCTTAAATGTTTTGTGCAATGTTCGTCTCATCTGAATATTCAGTATTTGACCTTTATCATCTAGCCATTCTTTTATGTCATCAAGAGTTGCATCGGTCGGGAAGCCTTTCTGTGAGAAGTGGGGAAAAAAAGTACAAATAATGACTCCCAGGTAACAATTCTTCCCAGAATAAATTCTGATTTATTCTGTTTTGAATGAAGCCAGAAACATAAGTGTCTAACTTTCTGTCCCTTCTCTTGTTTAGCAACCTTATTTTCCAGTGCAATAAAATGATTCACCTAAGATTTGCTCCAAAATAACTCAGCTGGAGCAAAGACAAAACATTATTTACATGTTAAGAATTGCTGATATCTGGCAATGGTACATTACACTATTCAATCTACTTCCTTGTATTTAAAGCTTTCTATGTATTTAGAAAGTAACTAATGAAAATTACTACAGAATTCACCTATTAATAGACAGGATTTAGCATATGTGAATTAAAATGATAAAAGCTTAGAATTACACTTGCAAAAACATAGTAATGGGCCAAACATGTCCTGAGCCTTTATCCTTATTCACTCCATGTACTTTCCTTCTAAATAAAATATGAAACGCACTGAAGATCCACTTACAATATAGACAGATCTGTTTTTTACATCATTCTTATACTCGTCAGTCACTTCAGGAAGGGGTCTGGTTGGAGACCTTCTGATTTTAGTCTTATCTGCACTCACTTCCATGAGTTTTGCCTTAGATTTGCTCAGTGCTTGAACAATCACATTGAAGTCTGTTGTCAGCCGGTTTAGCCTGAAGAGCACACACATACAAACATGTAAAAGCAGATCTAGTAGTAGCTATCAACAGTAACAGAGAACTTATGACTTTTTGAAGATTTTGGGGTTTATTAGTCCCAAAACTAACATAGTTGAATGACAGCACATGATCAAGTTCCTAGGTTTGATTCCCAGAAATGAAAACAAACCAACAAAAAGGTCTTACCTGTTGAATTTTATCATTATGTCCAAAGGTACCCAGCCTTCATCCAATTTGATCTGTTCCTTTAAAAATTTGTCTCTTGGCAAATTGAAGTCTCCAAAGTAATACTGTGAATAATTGTAATGTATTCCAGGTGTTAGAGCACTTAGAGCACTGTATAATAAGTTCAATCATAACATTTCTTGAAAACTACTTTTTATACCAGCAAGTTCTATTTTTTAAAAATGTATGTTAGAACTTAAAAGACCCAAGAAGCATTTTCTCCTAAATAAACTATAATGAAATACACATAACAGAACTCAATAAAAAGAAAACAAAAAAGTTAGTAAACTAGTATAATAAGTGTGTTACTAGAATAGAAAGCCTCAAATGTAAGTAGAGATCTAATATATTAAAAATACCTTTTCAGGGCTGCAGAGATGGCTCAGAGGTTAAGAACACTGACTGCTCTTCCAGGACCTGGGTTTAATTCCCAGCACCCACAGGGCAGTCTGTAACTGCAAGATCTGACACCCTCATACAGACATACATGTAGGCAAAACACCAACACACATAAAAGTAAATAAAAATCAAAAAACCCTATTTTCTAGTCAATATGGGAAAAAGACTGAGAAACTGAGTTTACCCCCCAGACTAAAAGAAAAAAAGACAACAAGTATGATTACTTGAAATGTCAAAAGCAACATGAATCAAAAAGGTAAACTAAATATATTAAAGATTCTTGCAGGCAGTGATAACATACACCTTTAATCCCTACACTCTGGAGGCAGAGGCAAGGAGATCCCTGAGTTGGTAGGCAGCCTGGTCTACAGAGCAAGTTCCAGGACAGCCAAGGCTACTAAGAGACCCCCTGTATAAAAACCAAAACAAAATAACCCACAGAAAAGTCTAACATTACTAATTGAAACCTAAACCAAAATACCTTTAATCCCAGTGCTAGGAAGGTAGAAATAGGTGGAATGAGTTTGGAACCAGACTGCTCTACAAAGTGAATTCCAGGCCAGCAGGTAACACAGTGAGACTCTGTCTCAAAAAATAGACTAGCATAAAATGTACATAGCTTCAGCCAATGTAGCACCTCCTAGGAATTCCATCTTAAAGAAACCAGTAGAGGAGCTAGAGATATGTCTTAGTGCTTAAAAGTGCAAGTCCCAGGCCAGTCTGGTCTAGATTGAGTTCCAGGACAGGTTTAAAAGAATATCCATCAGAGAACTGTTTTAGTTAAAAGATTCCACACATTAGAGAATTAGATGAATGGATTATTAATGGTATATTACCAGTGACACAAAACTCTGGTCAAGGAAAGGAAAAATTATGTGCCATTCTAGTTGGGGATGTTTAGGAAATCTTATCTCTGGGTATTTACTGTGAATTTCATACTACTCTTATAAATAAAAGCCCCCCCCCCCACCATTTTAGGGGCTGGAGAGATGGCTCCATCAAGGTTAACAGCACAGGACCCAAGTTCAATTGCCAGCATCCCTACATGGGAACTCATAACCATCTATAACTCCAGTCCTAGGCGAACAATTGCCTACTTCTGGCTACTATGGGCTCCAAGCCACGTACATGGTCTACAGACATACATCAGGCAAAATACACATAAAGTAAACTAAAAATAAAAACAATTTGAACATGAATCATGAAAGATTTTTTTTTTGAGACAGGGTTTCTCTGTTTTTGGAGGCTGCCCTGGAACTTGGTCTGGAGACCAGGCCTGCCTCTGGCTCCCAAGTGCTGGGATTAAAGGTGTGTGCCACCAACACCCGGCTGAAGCAAAGATTTTTAACCCTGAATCTATCTAGAGGGAGTGATTTGAGGCTGCAGGCTGTGGAAATAACATTTTTTTTCTACAACAGCTTTGTTATTATTGGTGTAAGCATTAAGCAAGAGCAAACAGCACTGTCTCTACAATTATTAAGAACACAATTTTTTTCAAGAAAACAAAAAACACAGGCTGGAGAGATTGCCCACTGGTTAAGACCACTGGTTGCTCTTCCAGAGGACCTGAGTTCACTTCTCAACACTCACACGGCAGTTTACAAGTGTCCATAATTCCAATTCCAGGGGATCTGACACCCTCATACATACATACATGCAGGTAATACACAAATGCACATAAAAATAATTTAAAAAGAAACAGTTAAGAAATACAAAACAAAAACAATACACCATAAACAATGATTTCATAGTATGAACACAAGTCACAGACAATTTACCATACAGCCATTATTGTTACTGACACACTTCAACCTAAACACAATGCCTAAATTTGAAATGCTAACAGAACTTTGAGAATAGAAGCTTTACTAAAATGATGCTAACTTTTGCAATAACTATAATTATTTTTTAAATTGTTTTTGTTCCAATATATCTTTATTGATTATCTGGAAATTTCACATCATGTACCCCAGTAACACTTCCCAGTCCTCCCAGGCCCAAGCCCCAACCTGTGACCCTCCCACAAAAGGAGAAAAAAAGTCCAGTTTGTGTTGCCCATATACTCACTGGCCAGTCCCTCAGAGAAAACTGATCTTCCCCCACCTGCACCCCGCAAGAAGCCATCAATTGTGGGAGATACACTTGAGAACCCTTACCTCAATTTTTAAAAGTTCTCCTCAGTTGCTTTCTATCTAGAATGTTTCACTTATCATCTGGGGGGAGGAGTTGTATGTAATTCTTGAATTTCCTGACTTAGCCCCAATAAAATATGTTCACATTAACTCCAAGAATCAAAGTTAAGCCCACGTATGACATTTAATATTCTGTTTTTCAACTCAAAGCCCTACGTTTCTTTTGAAGGAATGTATAATTTTGCAATTTAACAACACAAGAATCATACCTCAATTTGATGACAGATTTTGGCTTCCAGAGCAGCCATTTTTTCATTATCTCCATTTTCAGCCATTGTGGCTATCTGTAAAATTTCTCACACTGAAGAAAAGAGATTATTTTTTATAAAAATAATTAAGACAAGAGAACAGATTAAAAATCACACCACTTTTATTAAATTTCAAGAATTTCTAATATTGCAAGTTGTTTTTCTATGATTTCTCATATATCTTAATAAAGCAACACCTTACCGGTGTTGGTGTCCCATGCCTTTTCAGTCCCAGTACTGGGGAGGCACAGGCAGGTGGATCTCTGTGAGTTTGAGACCAGCCTGGACATACAGAGCGAGTTCTAGGACAGGCTTCAAAGCTACAGAGAAACCCTGTCTCGAAGGGGGGAGGGGGCAAACAAAATACAAAAACACAACACCTTAAGGAAAACTTAAGGTCAATAACCTGGTATTCTTTTCAGTAAAGCACCTGCCTCCTCTTTTATTTTGTTATCTTCGTGTAGTTGGTAAAGTAAGTTTCAGAAGGAAAAAGTATCCACTTAACCACTTCTCAACCATTTCTAGCTTTTAAAAGATCAGTATTACAACCTGTCAGTATATTCCTATAGCTCTCAATACTATTTGCTTGGCACAGCTTGCATTTCTTTTCAAATTAGTTACAGCTGACTTACCAAAACTCATTACTGGCAAAAATGAAAAATAAGGCAAAACCAAAAGCTATGGTGGTTACATACTATAGACAATATAAGAAAAATGGGAACTTGAGAGCATGGATACACAAACTCTTTAAACTGAGGGAGCTGGAGGGGAAGGTGTGCCTGATACACTAATACATTGGCTCACTCTATAGTCGGTTTCCTGTTTCACAGCCTGACAGCAATCCTGGCATAAAGAGATATTCGTTTGTTAGAAATCCGGATCTTCTGACGTACTGGCTTTCAGGATTCTACTAAATAAAGCACGCAGCTGTATTGTACTAAAGTGTACGAGCTCATTAAGAGTATCTGCAGCAGTAAAATACAGTTATGAGAGGAGGAAAAAAAAAGGAATACAGTTACGAGTTACCGCCGGTATATTAGAGACAATGCTCAAAATGCTGGTTTATAACCTGGAGACCCACGGAAGTCGTGTGAGGGGGAACCTACTCGGTACACGTCCCACCCATTTCAAAATTCACTTTTTCAGGTACTGGTTTGTCTCAGCCACCACATTACTACAGAGACCTAGGTTCCTCTGCAAAACAACGTCAAAAACGACCTATTTAGCCCCTGCAACACTTCTGTGGTCTTAACCAACTCTGGAATTGTTTTACCAGATACTTCCAAACAATTTCCACATAGACGCAGCTTTGAAGGGGGTAAATGGCATTTCTTTAAAAAAAAAAAAAGAAAAGAAAAAGAAATCAATGAGAAATCCCAAGGCAGCGTCGCTGAGCGCATCGCCGCGGCCCCCACCTCTTCGGCTTGCAGCGAGCCCCCACGGAAAGCCTGTAGCGTTTCACCCGCACCGACCATCCCGGGGACTCAAGAAAGGTCCGGAACATCCGCCTTCCGCCAGCCACGAAAGGGTGCAGGCAACAAACCGAAAGGACGCCGTAAGGATGCGGCCAGCCTCTCCTCAGAGGCCCCGCGAGAGCCGCGTCCTCCCACACCGGCCCTCCCGGGCCCCTGCCACGTGGGAAGCCCCGGGCGGCCGCATTTCTGGCGGGGGCCCGCTCCGCGGCCTCGCCGAGGCCCGCGCCCCCTCGGGCCGCAGCCCCGCACACGGACACGGGCCGCGCGGCCGCACTCGAGGAAGGCGAGGCCTACGCAGAGCACAATCCCACGTACCTTCTCTCCCCAGCCTCCAAGAAGCTCACCTCAAAGACTCCGATCCCACAGTCACCACAGCCTCAAGAACAACGACGGAAGCGGCTCCACTTCCGAGCGCCCGCGGGCCAGCCAAACGCGCTTAAAGATGGGGGCTCTCCCGGCAGTCCTTGCGGGCGGGTGGGCGTGGCCACGGGGCGCGCTCCGCCAGCGCGACCCTCCGCGCGTGCGCCGTAGCGGCGGCCTCCCACAATCCTCGGAGTCCCGCCCTCTCTCGCCCGAGAAATTGTGAAGGCGCCCGGCGGAGTGTAGGTGGACGGCAGGCAGTCTGTTTGTTTATTTATCTTTAGCATTTCTGGACAGTATGTCCGAGCCTCCCCTTCCACCTTATGTTGTGTTTGACGTTTCTTTTAGTTTTTAAATTTTGTTTGTTGTTCTTTCGAGACGGGGTTTCCCTGGGTTAGCCCTGACTGACCTGGAACGTGCTCTTGTCAACCAGGCTGGCGAGATCCACCTGCCTCTGCCCGCACCACCTCCTACCCCAGTGCCGGGATTAAAAGAGTATGCCACCATGCTTGGCCTTTTTCAATAATTTTTTGTTTTTCGAGACAGGGTTTCTTTGTATTGTTTTGGAGGCTGTCCTGGAACTCGCTCTGTAGACCAGGCTGGCCTCGAACTCACAGAGATCCACCTGCCTCTGCCTCCTGAGTGCTGGGATTAAAGGCATGTATGTGCCACCACCGCTTGGCTCAATTTTTATGCATTTAAATTGCATCTGAAAAAAGCATACAGTTGCTTGGTTTCTGACAGGATGTCTCTCTGAAGCATAAACTGGCCTGTAATTTAAGATCCTGATTCAGTGCAAAGCGGTGAGACTTAACAGATGTCACCTGGCTCTCATTCCTTCTGCTGCTGCTGTTCGTTTTGGTCCTGAGGTAGTACCTCAGTGAGTAACCCAGGCTGAACTCAAACTCTGCTTCTGCCTCCTGCCACCCCAGTGCAAACTTTTAAACACAGTTCTATGGAAACCAAGAGTTAGAAAAGCAGTACATTTAAAATGGTTCAAGACTTGAATCATGCCTGCGTTCATTTGTTCTCTGCAAACTGTGACCTTGGCAAGTTATTCAATTTCTCTGTCCCTCAAGATAAAATAGGGTCATCTAGTACAGAAACCTTTCTATTGCTGGATCCCTCCCTGGTGATACATTTTCTGCAAAACAATTTTAACCTTTTAGACACGTTATCTCCTATTACATAATCTTTTTCCTTTAGTTTTCTCGGAATATAAAAACTAGTTTCATAAAATAACGTCATTATCTCAGAGCTATTTGGCAGTTCCCCAAAAGATAAATTACCTAAAATTTGAAGAAAAAAATGCAGTTATAGGTTAAAAATATAGACATCATTCTGGCCAAAGAGAAAGTAATTACTAGCATTATGTTCAGGTAGATTTAAGTTCAGGTTAATTAAATTCAATAAATATTTTTCAAGTCTCTACTTACTGTGAGACACAAATCCTAAACTTTCCTTTTTTTAAAGACTTATTTTATGTATGGGTGTTTTGTCTGCATTTATATCTGAGTGCTATGTGTGTAAAGAGTGCTGGAGAAGGTGCCCAACCTGTTGTAATTCCATTTCCAGAGGGTGGAACACTTTATGCCCTGCTCACATATAGTGCCCATACATACACTCAAGCACACACAAATAAAACAAATATTCAAAAATAACTCGAAAGCAATATTCACAATAGCATGTTATGTAAATGAAAGAAATTTGAATCAACTATATGTCCCCAAAAAATAATTAGTACTATATAGTAATGAAAGCAAACTGCGTTTCATTTGTTGATATTCATGAAATTCGTAAGCACAATGTTCAGAGGGAAAAGGTGTTTCACATAACCATTTTCTGCAAGTATTATAAATATAATAAAACAACACAAATAAAAAATCTTACTTTGGCCGGGCGGTGGTGGCGCACGCCTTTGATCCCAGCACTTGGGAGGCAGAGGCAGGTGGATCTCTGAGTTTGAGGCTAGCCTGGTCTACAGAGCAAGTTCCAGGACAGCTAATGATTCATAGAGAAACCTTCCTCAAAAAACAAAAACAAAAACCTTAAGGAAATGAATTATCACCTTCAAAATAATTGTTTCACACACACATACACTATCATTGCAACCATTGCAAGTTTCAGGGTTTGTGTTGTTCTCTTAACCCTTATCATTCTGCAATCAGAATTCAGCACATTTATTTGAAGATTCAGCAGTATTTAATAAGGAGAACTTCATAATTTTTTAAAGATGTATTTATTGTATACATGAATGCTCTCTCTGCTTGTACACCTTTGTGCCAGAAGAGGGCATCAGATCCACCATAGATGGTTGTGAGCCACCATGTAGTGGAACTCGGAACCTCTGGAAGAGCAGCCGATGCTCTTAACTGCTGAGCCATGTCTCCAGCTCCCCGTAATTATTTTAGAAAATGGTTTTGGAAGAGCTAAAAGTAGCACTCCTCAGTCACCATGACAGTGAAAATCTGATGTACATTTCTAAACAGTCCAAGTGATTATTACCCTAACCCAAACAGAGAATGATTGATTTAGGGTAGTGGTATCATGTAGTAAGAAGTTTTTTCTGTCTTTGGGGGCCCCCCACCCAGCTCCCAAATGAATCACATATGGAGCTTACTCTTAGGTATGAATGTCCAGCCTTAGTTTGGCTTGTTTCTAATCACCTTTCCTTAATTTTAAATATCCTGCCTTTTTTTTCTCTGGATTTTTCCTGTTCTCTTACCTCTGTAAATCTTACTCCATGGATTACTGTGTAGCTGGATGGCTGCATGGCTGGCCCCTGATGTCATCTTCTCCTTGTTCTATTGCTCCTTTCTGCCTCAGTTCTCCTTCTATTTGTCCTCTCTGCCTGCCAGCCCTGCCTGTCCTCCCTCCTGCCTCGCTATTGGCCATTCAGCTCTTTATTAGGACCACCAGGTGTTTTAGACAGGCATAGTAACACAGCTTCACAGAGTTAAACAAATGCAGCATAAACAAAAGTCACACACCTTAAAATAATACGCTACCACAGTATCATTCTATTTGGAACATTACTATAAGATGCTTTGTTGAGCCGGGCGTTGGTGGTGCATGCCTTTAATCCCAGCACTCGGGAGGCAGAGGCAGGCGGGTCTCTTTGAGTTCGAGACCAGCCTGGACTACCAAGCGAGTTCCAGGACAGCCTCCAAAGCCACAGAGAAACCCTGTCTTGGAAAACAAAAAAACAAACAAACAAACAAAAAGATGCTTTGTTGAGCATATGGGTACAAATGCCTGAATCATACAAAGGTATTGCTTTTTTAACTACTAATGACACCATTCTACTTTTATTTGATTTTTTTTGTTTTTTTTTTTCGAGACAGGGTTTCTCTGTGGCTTTGGAGGCTGTCCTGGAACTCACTCTGTAGACCAGGCTGGCCTTGAACTCACAGAGATCCACCTGCCTCTGCCTCCCGAGTGCTGGGATTCCTTTATTTGATTTTTAAAAGGTTTACTTTATGTGTATGAGTGCTTCTCCTGCGTGTATGTCTATTTGGCACATGTGTGCATGGTGCCTACAGAAGTGGTGAGTCTCCATGTGGATGGTGGTAACTGAACCCAGGTCCTTTGCAAGAACAACAAGTGCTCTTAACCACTGAGCCAACTCTCCAGCCAGGCATCATTTTCTTAGTGTCATTTCATGCAAGGTCAAAACAATTCAATATTTAGTTATAATCCAATTATGCATCATTCACCAATTCTGACAAATAAAAATTATGATAAAATTGAATTTTAAAATACAGCAAAATATTTTTAACCTCTGATGACATGTCAAGATCTCCACACTTTAATAGTACAACAGTACTACCTACGGGCAAGAGCCCAATCATTGAGGCATGCCTACAGTATAATGAAACTGCCCACAGACATGTAAAAATGTACGAGGGAGCCAGGAGGTGGTGGTACACGTCTTTAATTCCAGCACTCAAGGGGGCAGGGGCAGGTGAATCTCTGTGAGTCTATAGCCTAGTCTACAGAGTGACTTCCAGGACAGGCTCCAAAGCTACAAAGAGAAACCCTGTCTTGAAAAAAACAAAAACAACAACAAAAAGATGTAAGAGGGGGAAAAACCCATATGCATACCATCTCAAAGGGAACTATTTCCCAAAAACCAGTAAAAATAATCTTAAAACTGTCTGGAGGAATTCTGTTTCAGAGGAATGACTAGAATATCTTTATACTCAATGTAGAAAACATTGCAAAATCAACTGTAGGAAAAACAATCAAAGTCTACGTAGTTTAAAATGTTGGGAAAGGAGCCAGGCATTGGTGGCACATGCCTTTAATCTCAGCACTCGAGAGGCAGAGGCAGGCGGATCTCTGTGATTTTGAGGCCAGCTTGGTCTACAGAGTGAGTTCCAGAACAGGGTCCAAAGCAATACAGAGAAATCCTGTCTGGAGGGAGGAGGGGGGGAGATTGGGAAAGTTATTATAAAGATGTTTCCAGCAATTAAATAGTTAAAAATGGGTTTGCTGGGCTAGGGATGTTGATTAGTGGTAATTTTAATCTGTTTTTTTCTCCCGTGGATTTGGCACCATTTATGGTGTTTATCTTGGTTGCAATTTACCAACCTGCTTAAGCAAATGTTCATCTTCCCACTCAACTTTTTATTCATAATCTGGGATTGTTCTTCTCAAAGAGGGTCTTCAAAATTGTAGTTTGTATTATACCCTGTAAATTCTAACATTATATGTTTGAATATGCATTAAAATAACAGACACATGTTAAACTTGAACAATAGAAAGGTAATGAAATTAGAAAATGAAGCACCCACCCTTCCTAAAGTGGAATGATAGCATATACAAATTTAACAATTTAAAATGTGGAGGAAATTCTGGCCCATGCTTTAGCAGCCAAGAGGTGGAAAATTATTCTAGAGCCTAATTTGCTTTTAAAAAATCCACTAGGATGAAGACCTCTCCCAGGATGGCTGAATGGAGAGCAGACACACAGTGAAGAGAGCCCTGGACTAGTGGTCTCAGCCAAGGGTTTAAACCTTGCTTTGAGGACAGCGCCTCATACTGGGAAAATAGCTTTAATCCCAGTTTAATATGTTGGGAATGCAACTAAATCTACTTTGT